CTATGATTCTATGATTCTATGATTCTATGAGTTCCTGCATGGCAGGGATTGGACTAGGTGGCCCTTGTGGTTTCTTCCAGCTCTGTGATTCTGTGATTCTATAATTCTAGTGCTAGGGGAAATCCCAAAACTCTTGTTATCTAAGTGAAAATTCTGCTTCTAACACCATCTTTGTTCTCCTAGATACACACAGAGAGGTTGTTTTTTTTTTTAATGGCCTCAACATGAGAAATTCTGATGAGCATTCTCTAAAACAAGTCACAAGAGCACATTTTAAAATTTGTTTTTATTTTAATAGAACAGAACGTTGAATTGTAACTACTTCCAGTGGCATCACTAGGGTTGGTGTCACCCCCATTGGCCTTCTCCTATACCATACCATATAGAATCTTCGGTAATGTTTTTGTACTAATGTTACTCATAAATCATAATTCCCATATATCATTGAATATAATGATAGTTGTGACATAAACAGATAGCACAATTAAAATTATATTTTAAATTACAGTATCATATGTGCAGCTTAAATTTATTTACATAGACATAGGTTCATAAAGTGAAAATTTGGTAAAATGTGATGTTTTTAAAGAAAAGTTTAGATTTAAAATTAATTATTTGAAATTTTAATATTTTAGAAAACATGGGACCTCTTCTTTCTCCTCCCACTGAGGCTCATCCCACTCACATCATCTCTTCAGCGTTTTAATGGGACACAGGTGAATGCCATAGCCTGTTTCTACCAAAAGGCAGATGTTTGAGGGGCAATGGTGTTATTCCCCTCTTAGGGCATCCCCTGGTGCGATCCATACCTCCCCACCCCCTAGTGATGCCACTGGCTATTTTCCCCCCTAGATGAGGCTGGTATGGCTTCTAGTGGTCCTGAGGACTTAAAATCCCCCTCCCCCCAGCCCTAGAGCTTACCTATTCCTAGTATAGACAATAGCTTGATGAATCAAAAGTCTGACATAGTACAGCACAATTTCCTATGTTCCTAAAGGGGACAATTTGTATGTGTATGTAACAAAATGTTGCAATAAAGAGGATGCATATTTTGCATGTGTATGTAACAAATAATTTTTTCCTGCTTTCTGATTTGTTCTTATGCTACAGACTATCAAATCATTTAAGAAAAATGTTGGAAGTAAGAGAGAAGGTGGCTGGAATTCCTGCAACATTTTTCTGTTCAACACAATACCCATTCCTGTTTAACTTTACATTCCATATCCAGAGCTATTAATTTCACTTGACTTCCATGTCTTAAGGTCAAAATCATTAATCAGAGTTTCTGTCATTAGCCCAGTTTCCTTTTATATTAAGCTATTGTGATCATTTACTATTAATGAGTCATGAAGTTTTAATAAATTTTTGTTAGTGCGAAATTGCTGAATATCACACAAGGTATGGATAGTTTCTTCTCCAATGTAAATTTTGCCATATGTTGATTAAAGAAAATTTGCAATATAATTCACTGGTGGATTTGAAGTATCTATTTGCACAATTTTATATAGACAGTAAAAATGAAGGTCAAGATCCTGCATCATCATTGTAACTTTTTGATGACAGAGCTCCATCATTGTAATTGCAATCTATCTTTCCAGCCTGGAACAGCCCTGGATGAACTGTTTCTGAAGTGGTGGAGATTGAGATAATGGGAAATGACTTCAGCAGCACTCTATGGTTACAGGACATGTTGTGAACAGGCAGCTGAAGAGACCCCTAAAGGACTTGTCACAACTGCTTGTCTTAAAGTAACACACAACTGGTATCTTTTCCCAGTACCCCAGTCTTCAGCATCTCAAAAACCCTGAGCTTAGTTGCGATAATGCCAGGATGAAAGGTAGTTTTGGGGGTCATGTTCAGACACTAGCAACTGAACTCATGAATCCTGAGGAGTTATGAGATGATAGTCAAGTTTACATACTCATAATTGCTGAAGAGGATGCCAGCCACAATCTGTTGTGTGTTGGAATCTTTGTGACTTTCTTTTTGCTGGTTTGCTGGCTTTTTGCAGGGCTTTATATTAAATAATTTCAAACTAAGGACATTGTTTACAAAGCCAAGTATTAAAATGTTTGTGAACTTCTGTTGCCACTGCAGAAGAACTACAAAGGAAGAAATGTGTCACAGTCTTTCTGTGCTAATAGAGAAACATCATAGCAATAGCCAGAACCCAATGTCTGCAAATATGGCTGGCTTCTCCTAGGTTACTTTTTTAGTATTCATCAAGCAACCTATACCATGCTCTATCTTGGCTGGATCTTTATTATTTAATTGTCTGTTTAACACACAACTGCCACCCTTGTACCCTTTAACAATAGAATGTATAAATGTAATATAATAAAGAACTAACTTGGAACATTAAAAACATGAAAGTGGTGTTAGAAAAACACTAATTGATGGAGTTGTGGCACTGCACAAGCTTATATTTATACCAATATTGATGGTGGGCCTGATTAGCCATCCACATTTTATTAGGACCATTACACTCACATTTATTGGTTCACAGAAGCCAAATGATTTGGAGAGGACCCATGGTGGAAGGAACTATAATTGAGTCCAGATGGATTCACTACTGTCCTTGAAAACATTAGGATTTCTGTCAATGCTGAAGAATTTGCGTTTTGAGAGTTTGCTGGAACACAAACTGAGTTTCTAATGCTTGATTTTCAAGTTATACCTTTTGATTAACGGGAATTGTGTATTTGTTACAGCTCACCTCCACAGCACTGTTATTTGCAAACTAAAATTTCTGAATATTTACTAGTGTTTAACTCCTCAAATAAGTTTCACAAGATGTCAGTGACAAGGGATGTTCCATCCACAGTGATGTTAAACAATCACTCCTGCAATGAGCAAGATTTGAGTCAAGATATGTGACCAAAATTTGAAATTTGGCACATCCAGAAAGCTTGTCAAGGATGTAAAATATTTTGCTTCTAGCATGAGGCTGAGACCCCAAGAACTTTTTCCTGCCACTTGTGCAAAATATCACAGAATATGAGTAGTATATTTTCCTTTTGTGTAGGCAAGA